AGACAGTTGCAAGCATTGAGTTGGGATAGATGAAGAACCAGTACCGTCCGGCTAGCTCAGCGCAAGTTCTGAACCAGTTTGATTTGCTGCAGGGTATTAACAGACTCTTTTTAATTAAAGAGTCCGATATAAATGAACTTTTTCCTTTAACTATGCTTGGCGACAAAACGAGGTGAGCTTTGGTGTATGTACATACATAAACAAAAGTGTTATAATCACAAAAATATCTTTTATAGGCGGCATCCAATTCAACTGTAAGTTCTAATAATAGTTGGCTCAGTTCTTTTGAAAAATCAAAGAACTTAGCAGAAAGTACACCGGTTATAAGCTTAGATGTTATTCTTCAATCGACTCTCAGAGGGCGAAGCGTGTTGCAACAATATAAAGACAACTCATTGTTGTTAGATGAGCACCGCGAAGTTTTGGTAAATACCATAGTAGAACATTTTTCAGAGCGCTCGCTGCCTATGGCAATGAGCGATATTATTCATTTTGCAGAGCAAATCGTATCTTTTTTCCGACTGAAGATTTGGTAAGATAATTTATAAGAATAAAATTTAATAATTTACGTTATGCACTCACAAAAACAATGTACTATATTTCATATAGCGATATTATTGCAACCGACGAAGTGGCGAAAACCCAACAGGAAAGCTGTATGACAAAGCAACTAATGTTCGGCGCAAAATTAGCAAACAGTCACAAATTACGGATGCAACCAATTATCGACAGAGTCCCCAAGAAAATTTGCTTTCAAATTCGCAAACACAAAGTATGCATAAGTTCAATATAATAGTTCATTTTAATTTGCTTTCTAACTAATTAAGCAAAATACCTGATGCTAGGCCATCACAGACGTAATCAAATTTACATATACTTATGTTCTTAAAAAATATTCTTGCGTGAAAGAGCCATCCTTATACGCGTGCTAGTAATTTTACAGGCCAACTTAATATTCACGCACGCCGGAAATTTACTCTCAAAAATTTCTCATGCACATAATACAACTTCTATNTTAATTTGCTTTCTAACTAATTAAGCAAAATACCTGATGCTAGGCCATCACAGACGTAATCAAATTTACATATACTTATGTTCTTAAAAAATATTCTTGCGTGAAAGAGCCATCCTTATACGCGTGCTAGTAATTTTACAGGCCAACTTAATATTCACGCACGCCGGAAATTTACTCTCAAAAATTTCTCATGCACATAATACAACTTCTATAGAATCAACCGAAATTAAATTAAATAAAATACAACTTCTATGGAAACAACTGAAATTAAATTAAATAAAATTTCCAAATTTTCTTCTACGGAAGACTTCGGGTGACGCAGAAAAACAAAACAGATGGCGTGCGTTTATATTAGGTTAGGCTGTTAGTAACAAAAAATGTGTTGTACTAATATAAAAGTAGCATGTGATGGCCAAAGGTCTGTTTGCTATTTTACGCTTCAATTTATAGACGAAGGTTCGTTAGAGAAAAAGTTGTGGCTTTCACATAATTTGGAACCTTGGAGCGATGTCGTTGAAAAATGGAAAGATACGGTCCCATTAAGAAGGGCAGATGTTATGAATAAGGACATAAATATCTTTGCTGAGTGGCCGTTGCTTAAAAATTACCTTGGATATACCTTGGTACGAAAATTTTTCGTACATATGTACATATACATAGATATATTTAATCTTATGTTTAATCCTTATTAAGATTGAAATTGATTTTACTGCGAAATATCCAAACATATCGCAAAATTTGTAGAGAGAGAATAAAGAACACGACGGTTTGAGGTTTATGAGTGG